AAGGAAAAAACCCACCAACCCACATCTCTAAATATGCCTCTTTACCTTCTTTTTGGATAAAATTTCAATGCAGCTTCAGAATAGAGTGCTTTGTGAGTTGAATAATTAAGCACCACTTAGCCATGGGGGAGCAAACACCATGTTTTCTTTGCACTGAGGCTGGTGTGGCCACCCAACTCTGCAGCTGCTGTGAAAGGTGGGTTTGTTGTGCAAACAACAGCCCTTGCTGCTGGGCTTGGACACAAGGACAGATGGTTGCCTGAGGAGGACTGGGACACTCGCCCCAGGCGAGGAAGGAGCTGGCCATAGGGACCATGCAGCAGGCAGGCAACCATCTTTATTTTTAAAGTCAGCATTATCTTTTTTAGCTTGGAAGAGCGGAAACCAGAGGATGGTGAAGCTGTCCACCTGGTTCTTCAAGAGCAATCTGCCTTCAACAGCTTTCCTCAGGGTCTGAAAAGTGTGCAAGAGTGAGCCAGGCCCCCATGTTAGCTCCTTCCTCCCATGTAGCAGCCTGGAGAAGACCAGCTTCATAACCCACCAGCCAGTAAAGACCTCACTTGGAGCCCCTCTTTGCCAGCTTGCCCAGCCTTTGGCCACATACCTTTTGCTCTTGCCTTCCCCAAAAGGCAGGCCCTGCATCTGCAAGAGATGCTGGCACAACCCCTACATCCAGGGAGGTGGATGCTGATGAGTTTGCTCAGCAGCAAGCCCTGGGGGGCTGCATCCTCGAGGAGGGCTGTCAAGGCGTGTCCCCAGGGTGCCCTGGCCAGCTGCGTGTTTGGGACAGCCTCTCCCACAGGGAGGGGGCTATAGGGGGGCCTGACACATAGGGACAGCACATTGATTTCCATTGCGTAGCTGCTCTCTTAGCTACAGAAAGCTTCAGGCTTCGGAGCAATTAGCCCTAAACCACTTAACAACCATCCAGCAGAGGAAAACTAATCACGCAGGAAGCCAGCTCGGCTCGCCAGTAAATCAGAGCAACTGCAGGTTCATTTGATCTGACAGCCTTGACTTCTTTACGCAGTTATTGGATAGCTTTGCCTTTTATTTGTTGATGTTTCTGGCCCCTGATTTTCTCACTTGGATTCTTTAACTTCTCACAACTGGTTTTATACCATCACCAACACAACCTGATGTTGAAAAGAAAGATGCTACAGCAGGAGCTGAGCAGGCAGCAAGGAAGCAGCACATCACCCAAGGATGCTCCCACCACCACTAGCATTATAGGCCACTAGCAAACATATGTGGTGCTGGAGAGACCTGGAGAGCCACTGTGTTGCCCCTCGTTTGTTCTAGGCTCAACAGCAGCCAGAGATGTCCCCAAGAGCTGGCATTTCCCAGTACCAACCTGTCTGGGTGCTCCCTCTGAGATAGCATGGAAAGCTGCTTGGGGCTGAGCCAGAGCTAGGACCTTGCAGAGCTGCTTCCAGATTACCCTGCTATCCTCTTTTCTTGGGGATAACAAGCTCTGCAGCGATGCCCTAGAGGAGCAGAGACAAGCTCAGTACCAAAGACAACCACCACATCATCCTTCTTCCTTCTCCTGGATCAGTACAGAGTTCAGTCAGACCCTTATTTACTGCACATGGGGCCCTTCGACCCAAAAGGAAAGAGATGAGCAACACCAAAGCCCAAATTACCTGGTGACAGAGGAGATGAGGCAGCTCGGCACTGAGCAGCTTGAAAAACAAGTTTGGGTTCAACTCAGAAGCAAAACCCAGTTGTATTTAGTTTTAGCCACCGTAAGGAGACCATTATCCGTTCACAGCTAGATGCTACCAGTTTCACAGCTAAACAGCAATAACACAAAGTCGCACATGAGCGTGAGTAACTCTGACAACCCCAATCTAAGGGGGGTTTTTTTTAAGCCTTTGAAGTCATGAAGTCCTAAAAGAAGAGTTTGAGTGGTTTTCCTGTCCCTTATTCCAGTGCACTGGTCTGGATCCTGCTCACAGCTCCAGCTTCTACAGACCAGGTGTTGGAGAAACAAGGAAACCCCCACTATGGCTTTTCTCTTCCTTTTCAGATGTCCTGGTAGAGGATTGGGCTTGCAGACAAGCTGGGTGCTCTTCTGGCCACCCACCTCCCTGGGGAGAGGCAGCACCCACCTGTGGGACAGGCTGTCCATGAGCTGGGTGCAAGAGCTATCGGCCAGGTCCTTCTTGTCCCCTGTGCCAAGGGACACAGCCTGTGTGTGAGGGGATGATGTGTTGCGGGTGAGAACTGGACCCCAGGGCAGTTGCTGGGTCCCAGATGACCTGATGGAGGTGATGACTTGGGAGGGAACAAGAGGATAGCAGAGGTCTGGCACAGGCAGGGTGCGCTAGCAGAGATTAATGCAGCGCTATCGATCTGGAAACCAAAGCTTGGCTGGCAGTGACCATGCAGGAGCAGGGGGAGATGGGGACCAGCAGGGCTTGAGCTGAGCACCGCCTTTGGCGCTGCTTGTTCTCCTGGGAAATGTCCCCGTGACTTGTGACCCGCTTGGCTGGGAGCGCTCAGCCAGCAGCCAAGGACTGTTCCTGCATCCAGCTTTGGCTCAGCCTCTGAACATAGACCCCTTAGGTATTATCGGAAACTTCCTGACTCATCCTGCCTAGCAGTAGTGCCAGCTTTTGGAGGGCACTACCAATTTGTCTCCCAAGCTGAAGCAGATCATGAGGGCTCTGCTGACCCAAAGCACAAGCAAGCAGCATGGGACCTCAGGGTGGCTTTGCAGAGAGGTGGTAAGCTGCCTGTGTCCCAGAGAGACTGGAAGCAGAGGTAATTTACAGAGAGGTAATAAACTTTCAGGGTGCTGCCAGCCCTGGGAGGGTCCTGCTGTGCTGGATGAAACACCAGCCTGACGTGCTAGGGGCTGCAGAGGCTGTCTGCAACGTGTGGGAGAAGTCACACGTCTGAAATGCCAAGGTGTGATGGAGAGAGGATCGTTTTACTGAAATGCAGACAGATGTTGAACCCTGATCTGAAGAACACCAAGGGTGAAGGGATGCTCAGTCCAGGTTTATCAGCATCAGCTGCTGTGTGGTGGCAGAGGGTGCTGCTGTGGTTGGGCTGGGGACGGAAACCATGGGTGTTGAGCCAGGTGGTTATCCAGTAACCAGATTCCAGCTCGCCATCCATCTTCTCTCGCTTACCCTAAGGTCTAGCAGCCTTGCACCTCAGCAGACCGAGAGCCCGAGGAGGATGAAAGCTCAGAGGCATCTCCAAGTGCCTGCCCCTGGGAGAAAAGCACCGATGACGTCAGTCCCACCTCCCAGACCCTCCTGCTTGGGAAATGGGGTCCATCACAGGGGTATCTACAGGGCCAAGAGAAAAAGCTTTTGGGTGAAGCGTGCCAAGGACCTGTGCTCCGAAATGCCTTGGGCTCTGGTAGAAACCGTGCCCCAGAGCCGGCTTTAAATCCCTGGCCAAGAGCACTTTTGCAGTTTCATAAAATGCCTTCATGAAAGGTGTGCCGTGTGCCCAGCGCTCGCTGTAGTGAGCTGGAGCTCCTGGGCTGAGATGTCCCTTCTGCTCTCTTCCTCCACGGAAGATGTGCAGGTTGAGTGAAGCTGTATTACACACCTGCAGCCTTCTCTTTACACTGGTGGCTGAGAACACCCCAAACCCATTGTTTAACACCCAAAACCATTGTTTAACAGCCAAAACCATTGTTTAGTGAGTCCCTGCTCACTGGTGCTGCATCCCACCATTTCTGCACATAGGTGCTAAGTGTTTCCATCTCTTCTTTGGCACGAGGTGCTGTCTGACCTGAGAGCCTCGTGGCTCTCCTGGGTGCTCAGCACTGAGAAGCTTTGCTGGAGGAACCCCATGTTGCACAGACCCTGCTCCAAAATCTGAGTCATTCCCACTCCACTGTTTCTTAGCTTTATGTGCAATAAAAGTCCCATGGTGGGTCAGCAACAGCTCTGTTTCATCTAAAACATCTCCCTGATGTGGGCTGAGTCCCTTCTTGCTACCTTGGGTGTCACCTGTGCAGGTGGCATTTCAGTTTGACTCTGGGGGCAGCAGATTTGGCTGTGGTGGTCGATGACATCTCCTTGGGGGATGGATTGGTGATGGGGAGGAGAGCCTGATGTGTCCACCACCAGCGATGCCCAGTCATGTATGATCTGCAAGCTCCTGCCCACAAAGAGCTGCCATGGTAGCTGTCTGTGCTCTCACTGCTGTTGCTTCTCACTTAGATAGGCACCAAGCTCCTGTCTCTGGAGCTGAGGTGGGAGTTTGGCTTCAGGGTTCCCACACAGTCAGCATTTTGCTGAGTTGGTTTTGTTGATGTGTTTGTTGGTGGTGGTTTTTTTTCCTCTACACTCATATAATTCTTAGTTCATTATGGCTTCTTTGCACTGGAGCAAGTTCTTGCTCTTCCCAGTGCTGGGCTTGGGTTGCTCTGAGGGTGTAAATAAATAAATGCATGGAAATGAAAACCCCTCGTGATGTCACTTAGTGTTGGCATGTTCTTCCCCTGGCCCCACCATGCAGAGGGAGCTGCTAGTGCTGGCCCAGTGCTGAATTCAGCCCTGGAGAGTAGGAATGGGGGTGGGGGAGCCCCAGGACTCTATTGATGGGGATAGAGGAAAAAATGACTCATCTTGGTGCTAAGAAATGGAGACAAATGAATGAATGCACAAGGAATCGGGGCGAGAGGAGAAAGAGGCATCTTGTGTTTCCATTCCCAGCTGCACGGTGGCTGCTGCTGAGGAGGAGCTTGCTCCCCTGCGGCTGTGCTGGCTGCTGGGAGGAGATGCTGGGGAGATGAAGGAGAGGGTGTTTGGGGATGGGGGAAGGATCTCAACCTTGGGGAAAAACTGTGCTGACCCATGCTAGACTGGTTTAAACCTCACCTCTAGCTATGCAGGGATACTTCCCATCTCGTTGTGGGAGATGGCTCTCAGCATTTTCAAGCAACAAACTTATCTCCAGCTTCAGACCCAAACCCCAGGTTGCTCCAAGGATTTCCCGTTATTATTTCTTCTTTGTCTCACTCCTAGGGCTGGGTGATGACTCTGCAGCATCGCCCCTCACCCCTGCCAGCCCTCCCTCCCCCTCGGAGCGGATCCCAGCGGAGCTGGGCTCCAGGGATGCAGCCGTCCCCGTGCCAGCTCCTGGCCAGCCCTCGCTGCCCGTGTCCACAGGACCTGCTGGAGATGGGATGTCCTCCAGGCCAGTGGAGAGGGATGGCCACAATGCCACTGCTGCCATGTCACTGTCCCCTGCTCCTGACTCTGTGAGCTCCACCACCGCAGCCACCATCACCATAACAGACAGCCCATCCATTGCCTCCAGCTCAGTGCTACCAACCTTGGACACAGCCCCAGGTCTTTGGACAGAAAATACTGCCAGCTTGGCAAGAGGCACGGTGGAGTTGGGGACAGCTCCCAGCCCCGTGGATATACCTGCATCATCATCCTCCTCCTCGTCCTCCCTCCCTGCCAGCGATCTGTACTCATCCCCTGGAATAGTTTTGTCCCCAACACCTGTCCTCATGGGCCCCGACACCAATCAGCCACCGGCGCTGACCAAGGATGACCCTTCCCTGGGGACGCTGGCTATGGCATCAAGCCTGGCCATGGAGTCAACATTCCCCCCGGTGACTGTCACAAGCCCCACCACAGCCGACTCCACAGACCCTGGCAAAACCACCCTCTCCACCGGAGTCACCATGGAAGAGGTCCCACGCGCCCTGAGCGCAGGTGAGCACCACCACTCTCCATAAGCATATATACCTATAATGTCACCTTCAAGGTGCTTAGGTAAGAGGGACAGACCTCCCTGAGCTGGAAGGGAGGAGGTGGTCACCTTCCTGAGAGCACCATTCAGCAAAAGCTGAGCTTTCCTGGCTGGATCTCTGGATCTCTGCACCGGTGGAGGTGACCAGTTGTAGATTTCAAACCTCAGCTGCCTGGAGATGCGTATAAAATCCCGAGCTGCAAGTCTGAGGAAAGAATTGCCCTGATAATGGGGCAACCTGAGTTAGGAAGGTCTAGGTTTTTCTTCTCCTTTCCTGGAGACCTTGCTAAGCTGACACTAACTTTTACCTGTCCTCTTCTGCAAGCTCAGACAGCTTAAAAGTGCTTCTGAAGGCCAGAAAAGGGAGGGATCTGGAGCAAGGGCAGGAGATGCTCACATGTCCCACCTGTGGGCTAGTCACAAAGAGAGGTGGGTGTAAAGCTCCTGGTCAAGAAACAAATGTGACTTCTGGGACCTGGAGAAATGGAAAAAACCATCCATCCCCTGGCTGCAGTAGCCTCAGAAAGGGATTATTTGGTGAGCTGCAAGCCCTGGTGAGAAACCCTGCTGTTTTAACCCAAATCCACCTGCCCTGCCTTTACAGGAATGGGGTCATTGCAAAAATATAGGGGAGCTCAACACCTTCTACAGGAGCTTTGAGAAGCAGTGAGGGGATGTCCCCTTTCCACCAGAGATGGCTGACACTGGTATATGGGGAGCAGCCAGGGTGGGGAGTGGGTGATGTGGGGCTGGGACTTGGGGGCGGGGGGCGCTGAGCACTGCCCTTTCTGATGGACCCTCCCTCCACAGGCAGCATCGTGGCCATAACCGTGACGGTCATCGTGGTGGTGGTGCTGGTTTTCGGGGCGGCAGCATACGTCAAGATCAGGTAAGGCTGTTTTTGGGGTGCCTGCCTGGTGGGGTGCTCAAGCCACGGCCTCCCCTGTGAGGCTGAAGCCTCTCTCACCATCACAAAGGTGATGGGCAGGGGCAAAGCCCTGGGGAGATGCTGTCCCCAAGGCTGGCAGGGTGATGTGCAGCCTCTAGTCCCCCCACGGCTGCAGTTTCTACCACATCTCTATTGAAAATCAGAGTCTTTCCTCCTCGTTTTACGACAGCCTCACTCAAATGCCAGAGACGCTGTTCAGTATAGTCATAACCAGTAATTATCCCCAGGGCAAGCTGCTGCCACGGGGCTTGCCGTGACTTAGACAACAACCAGCAGCACAGCCCAGCGCTGAGCATCTGTAATGAGGCTTTGCTGACAGCTGAGACAAGCCAAGGTCTTGTTTTAATTCCCTGCCATGTCCCAGTCTGGCTCAACGGGGGCAAAATCCTGCCGGGGCTTTTTTTCTGTCCTGGTGCTTCCTGCTTAAATATCACAAAGTTTGACCTAGGGAGGACTTGCATGCTTTTTGATTTATGGTGAAATAACTACCAAAGCAACTGGTAACAGCAGGTGGTTTGCTTTCCCCCGGCAGGCACTCCTCCTACGGCAGGCTTTTGGATGACCACGACTACGGCTCCTGGGGCAACTACAACAACCCTCTCTACGATGACTCCTAGCAGGGACAAGGAGAAAAAAGGGGAAAAAAATAATAAAATCTTTAATTTATAAGCGTTTCTGCAGCGAAGGATCTGCTGTCGAGGAGATGCCCGTACACTGAGCCACTGCTGCTGGCAGGGTTACGGCGGGTCCGGCGGACGACAGGCAATCGGAGGGCGGGTGGGTGCACGGCGCCCACAATAAACTCGAATTTTGGCCTTTGTGTAAGAAACTCTGGGTCCAGGGGCACGTTGGCCACTTGGTTTGCAGGCAGGAGAACCCAGATTCCCCGGGGAGAAGGGATGGGGGGAGATAAAGGGAGGGGATGGAGGTTCAGCCAGCACCGTGGCATCCTTTGACATGCTGCTGTCCCATGGCTCGGGGAGGGGGACACGGGGCTGCTGAGCCAGAGCCAGCAGCGGGCAGGGGACTCACGTGCTTTCACATGCTCCTTCCTCTGAAATCGCCTCCCTGCCTCACCCACTCCTTTGCCAGGGACCACGAGCAGTTATCAGGCTGCTCCATCACTGCTCCCTTTCTTTTCCTGCAGGTGCTTCTGCAGAGAAGGTCGTAATTTTTTTCTTTTTCTTTTTTTCCATTTAATTGTGGGGTTTTTCCCCCCAAAAACACAGCCTGGGAGCCTGTGGGAAGGTGCATTGACCACCCACGCTCCTGAGCCCAGAAGTGCCCCGTCACATTCACGGCTGCTTGCTCCACAGCTTTATTTTTAATCCTTGAAAAACTTGGCTGCCAAGACAGAGTGAAGTGGATTTTAATCCCCAATTTCTGCATTCAGCTCCTAGCACGTGAAGCCAGGGGGTGGCTGATGGCAGGGGCTGGTTTGGGGAAGGGATGCTCACCCCAGCCCACATCCCCTTGCTCAGACACTTCTACTTCTGGCTAAATCCCCCAGCAGTGAAAAGCAAAGCCCTCAGCCCACATCACCTTAATAAATACATCAGCACGAAATGATGCTGCAAAGGTTTGGGGCATCCCAGCAGACCCCTGGAACTGGTCACCATCACCCCAGAGGTTACAGATCAGTCGCTTCCCACACACCCTCAGCAAGACGGCCGCATGACCGAGTTTCTGGGGGGATTTTGGGGAAGGCAGTGGCACCCCTGCAGAGGTAGAGATGCACCAGTTAGCTGTGTTTTGTGTCCCTGCTCTTAATCACAGACCATTTTCCCACATGGAGAGGGCGTGAGGTTGATCAGGGTATCCACCAAGATACCTCTTGGCTAAAGCTGAAGCCCTGAAGCAGTTGCTGGTTTAGGGAAGGGCAACCAAGAAACAGCCTCCATTCCCGATGGGACGCACACAGATGAGGCAGGAGAGGCTCGAGGTGCCGTCTCACCTGAAAAGCAGGTGTTGGTTTGCTTCAGGTTAACTGGTGTCAGTGCTGCAGGCTGGGAAACAGGCTCTGCCGTTCGCCCCGGCTGCTAAACGAAGCGTCTCGGGGAACATCAAAGCTCGGGGTGTTTGCCTGGTTGTTTCCCCGCAATAGATGTGTCATCTCTTTGATTTTAATCAAGCGAGTGTAATAAAGGTGGCCAGCACCACAACAGCCACCTGGAAAGGTCAGGAGAAATGAGGACAGCTCCTCCTGCTCCCTCTCCCAAAAGGAAATGCAATCATTGTGTATTTTCCTTTTCCTTTTCAGCCTCCGCAGCGGGAGGCAGCCCATACTTATTCCTCTCTTTTTACATCCACCAGCGTTCATCGGGTGGCCAAAGCCTGGCTCAACAGCAAGAGTTCAGTGTGGGATCTGCTGGAGTGAAGCCTACCTGCTAAGCTGCTGTTGTGGTTGCACTGGGCTGGAAAGGAAATGCAATCATTGTGTATTTTCCTTTTCCTTTTCAGCCTCCGCAGCGGGAGGCAGCCCATACTTATTCCTCTCTTTTTACATCCACCAGCGTTCATCGGGTGGCCAAAGCCTGGCTCAACAGCAAGAGTTCAGTGTGGGATCTGCTGGAGTGAAGCCTACCTGCTAAGCTGCTGTTGTGGTTGCACTGGGCTGGCAGCCAAACACAGCTGCTCGCTCACACCTCCCCTCCCCGGGAACAGGGGGGAGA